CAAAGGCTGCGCCGGCTTGAGGTGCTCGAACACGCGGTCCGCGAGGGAGATGCTGGGGGCCGTTCTCTCGCCCTCGCCTTCCTCGCTCCGTCTTCCTCCTCCCTCCTCCTCCCTCCTCCTCCCTCCTCCTCCCTCCTCCTCCCTCCTCCTCCCTCCTCCTCCCTGCCTCCTCCTCCTCCTCCTCTCCTTCCTCCTCCTCCTCCTCCTGTCCTCCTCCCCCCTCCCCCTCCCTCCCTCCTTCCCCCCTCGCCTCCCTGACTCCCACCCTCCCTCCCTCCATCCCTCCCTCCCTCCCTCCCCTTCTCCCTCCCTTCCTCCTTCCCTCCCTCCCTCCGTTTCTCATCCTCTCCCATCCCTCTCTCTCATCTGCCACCGTGCCGTGAGGCACGAGTTGGGGTGCCCTCAGGTCCCTTGCAGTCCTCAATCCTCGGTCTGAGAGCACAAAGGCTGCGGACACGCACACAGAGTCGGAACGAATGCACGCAGAGTGAATCAAGATCCCTGGATAGTCACCGGGGCCCGAGGAACAAGGCGAAAATGCCCAGTGTGAAAAAAGTGCAGCGCATGGATCCCAGGGCTCCCCGCCGCCGTCGAAGCGGCCGCCACCAGGAGGAGGGAGGAGAAGAGGAGGAGGAGGAGGGGAGGCGGAGGAGGAAGGGGGATGATGAGAGGACGATGGAGGAGGAGGAGGAGGAGGAAGGAGGAGGAGGAGGAGGACGAGGACGAGGATAAGAGGAGAGGAGGTGAGGACGAGGAGGGCTGCTGCAAAATGAGGAAATCAGGAGTAGGAGGAGGATGAGGAGAAGAGAGAGTAGGAGGAGAGGAGGAGGAGGGGAGGAGGAGGAGGAAGAGGGAGGAGAGGAAGGAGGAGGCGGAGAACGGAGGAGGAGGAGGAGGAGGAAGGGGGGGCGCCAGCCGCCGTCCAAGCCGCCGCCGACATCGCCGCCGCCGCCGCCAGGCGGCCCCTCCTGCCGGTGTGCATGCAGGCGGCGACCAGGGAGACGGCGACATCCTGCGGGAGAGGGGGCGGTCGGCATACAGTCGGCCTTGATTGGACAAAACACGCGAGAGGACACAAGACCCTTCCGAGGGTATAGAACCCGGGGGGGAAGCCTACCCTAGGCCCCACCGAAGGCCCTAGGGTAGCCCACCTAGGGAAGGCCTGAGCGTGGGCTTAGGGTAAACATTGAGGGAAGGGCTACAGGTAGGCCTATCCTAGCCCTAGGGGGAATGCCTAAGGCTAGGCCTAGAGTAGACCTAGGGGGAAGTCCTAGGGGTAGGCCTAAGGGCAAGCCTGGGGTAGGCCTAGTGGGTTGGCCTAGGGTAGGCCTAGGAGGTAGGCCTAGGGGTAGGCCTAGGGTTGGCCTAGGGGATGTCCCAGGGGGGTGACATAGGGTAGGCATAGGGGGTAGGCCTAGGGGGTAGGCCTAGAAGTAAGACAAGGGTAGGCCTAGGGGGAAGGCCTACAGCAGGCCTACGGTAGGCCTAGGGGGTAGGCCCAGGGGTAGGCCTAGGGGGTAGGCCTAGGGGCAGACCTAGGGTAGGCCTAGGGGGAAAGCCTAGGGGTAGGCCTAGGGTAAACCTATGGGGTAGGCCTAGGGGTAAGCCTAGGGTATGCCGCCTAAGGAGTAGGCCTAGGGGAGCCTAGGGTGAGCCTAGAGGGAAGGCCTAGGGGGTAGGCCTACGGTAGGCCTGGGGGAAACATCTAGGGGTAGGCCTAAGGCAAGCCTAGGGGATAAGCCTATGGGGGAAGCCCAAGATTAGCCTAAGGGGTAGGGCTACGGGTAAGCCTAGGAAAGCAAGCCCTAGGGGGTAAGGCTAAGGGAAGCCTAGGGGAGGCCTAGGTTAGGCCTAGAGGGTAGGCCCAAGGGTAAGGCACCCTAACTTGCGGGTCGGGCCAGGTGGTCGGGACATCAAAGCATCGTGCATCATCGGATGGACATGCGAGAACCCTAGTGGGTCGGGTCGAGACAATGCGGGTCGGGTGGACCCTAACGGGGCGGGTCGTGTCGGGCCGGGCAACCCTGCTGGGCGGGTCGGGTCGGGCGGGCGGGGCATTAATGCACCATGCGACATCGAATGGACATGCGAGAACCCTGACGGGTCGGGTCGCGTTGAGTCGGGCGGACGCTAACGGGCGGGTCGGGTCGGGCGGGCGGGACATCAAAGTATGACGCATCATCGAATGGACACGCGATAACCCTAGCGGTTCGGGTCGGGACGGGCCGGATCGGGCAAAGCGAGACCGTTCGCCCGGAAGCCCGTTCGCCCGGAAGCCCGGTCGCTCGAAAACCCGGAGGCCCGTTCGCGCAGAGGCCCGTTCGCCCGGAGGCCCGTTCGCCCGGAGGCCCGTTCGCCAGGAAGCCCGGCGGCCCGTTCGCCCGTTGGCCTGGAGCCCGCAGTCCGCCCGGAGGCCGGTTCGCCCGGAGCCCATTCGCCCGAAGCCCATTCGCCCGGAGATCGTTCGCCCGGAGCCTCCTCCGCCGCTGCCGCCGGCGACGCAGGCGCGGAGACTGCGGAACCAGCTCGTCCCCCTGCTCCTCCGGCTCGTCCCCCCCGCCTCTTCCTCCCCCTCCACCTCCTCCTCTTCCTCCTGCGGGAGCGCGCGGCGGCCCTTTTGGGGGGGCCTTGAGCCACGCACGGGGCGCGGCAACCCCTCCCGCACGCCGCCTTGCCGCGCCGCGGGCCTGTGGCGACCGTGCAAGGGGGCTCGGTTCTGAAAGTCTTCTCTGGGCCGGGTGGCACAACAGATAGAGGGGGAGGACGACGAGAGAGGGAATCTGATGTGCACCCGCAGAGAAAAAAAATGCACCGGGCTAAAAAGATTACATTTGCAAATGATGTCAGTACAGTGCGGTAGATTACAAAAGGGGCCAGCTACAGACTACAGAACTAACTTGCGCCAAATATTGTCTACTCTCTCCGTGGATTTTCACATCCTTGCCTAGATACGTTCACCCAGAAGTTCCCGGCTCAGTAGACCAGGTCGCCGGAGGAGCGCCGGCAGCCTTGGAGGTTGCACCAGGAAACATCTTGGGGGCCGCCTTGCTGTTCGGCGTGGCGTGCTTGTGCGCGCCCTTCAGCACCCGCTTGTTCGCTGTCCGGTTGCTCCGCATCCGGGCCTTCTGCGCCTCGTTGGGAGGCTTGCGGGTGAGGTTGCGGGGGCCCCGCAAGCAAGGCAGCTCCCAGGTCTCGGGGGCGGAGAGGTTCATCTCCAAGAGGTCGTTGTCCAGGTCTGGGATGTCTTTCGCCAGGTAGTCGCCGCGGAGGGTCCGCGTCGGAACGTTCTTCTCCGACGCCAATGCGATTGCACCCGGGACCCTGCGACCGATCTCCGCCCACAAATGGCAGAAACGGGCCTCGCGCTGGATGCCGAGCTGCGTTTCCTCTGCCCCGGTTAGCGGGTTGTCCACCAGCGCCGTGAACATGTCGTCGCGCGGGTGCTTGTCGACCACGACCTGCACGACCCGCGCCTGCTGCTCAGGGCCGGCGTCCTGCGGCGCGTCCGGGACGAGCTCCGGGCGAGGGTCTGCCCTGGCACGATTCCGCCCATGCCCCTTGCGGCTTGCGACCCACTTCGGCACCTTCGCGGCCGCGTCGGCGCGCCGCCGGGCGGACCCAGTCGGCCGTGGCGCAGCAGCGCGACTGTCACCTTCCCTCCCGGCGGCCGCGCCGGCCGCGTCTGCCCGGATGCGCTCCTGAAGGCGGTCAGCCTTCCAGAGCTGCTGGCCCTGCAGATCCAACAGCTCTTCCCGCCGCTCGGCCTGGAGTGGTTGGTTCGCGTCGCACTTCCCAGCGAGCTGCCCCAAGTACTGTGCGTTGTCCAACATTACGGCCCTGGCGGTGCGCTCCGCCATCCTCTGCCCCGGGAACATCTCCACGTGCTCTCCAGATGCTGCTGACGATGATGACGAAGAGGCACCCAGCGTAGCCAACCTTAGCATCCCAACCTTAACCGAACCATTAGGAAACTTGGTAGCAGGAATACCGAACAACCTACCGACGAGGTACATCAACTTGTTGTGTCCTAGTGCTTTCGTGAATGCATCGCCGATGGTTTCGGTCCCTGGCGTGTGTTCTGGCAGTGCCCCGCACTGGTTAAGGAAGAGCAAGCTCACCTCCGCGCGTTGTTTGAGGTGCCCAAGTTTTGGGCTATACCCCTTCTGGATTGCGAGCTGCGCGGCTTGGTTGTCGAGGTGGCCCCGGACGACAACCGGAGCAGCACGGGTGTACTCGATCATGGCGGCTACCCTTATATTTTGTTTCGCCGTTTTGCTCCAGGCGAGAACCTCCGACTCTGCAGAGCTAGTGGTCGTAACATCCTGTCTGGCAGCTCCCCAGGACAGCGGGCACTGGGAACCCTTCGGGCCGGTCAGCTCCAGGTAAAAGCCCGTGGTGCTCTTGGGCGCAGAAAAATCTGCGTCGCTCCAGGCATGGAGCTCCAAGTCGCCCCAAGAATCCCCCGAATTTAGCATCACGAGGCCAAGCTCCGAGCTGAAGAGGACGCAACCCACGAAGTGGCTAAGCTCTGCCTCTGCCCAAGGGCACCATTTGTCGACATGCCGAGCGAGGCGGCCAACTGCAAACGAGAAGTCCGGCCTCGTCCAACGAGCTGCGTAAAAAGGCCTCACCGATAATTCTACGGCGACCGGTTCCAGCCTCTGCTGGCGCCAGATCCTCTGGTCGCTGAGGGGTCGTTTGTTGCGCTGGTGTTGTGACGGGTCTTACGCTGTAGCCGACAACCGCCTCGTAGTCTCGGACGATCCTCTGGCAGTACTCCGACTGGGACAAGACGACGGCGACTCCTGTCCGACCATCTGTTAGAGTCATCTGGCGAGGGACGCTGCACGAGCAGCCAAGGAACTTGCGGACAACCTCTGGGGCCTTGCTGCTGAAGCCTACCCTGATGACATCCCAAATGTGGGTTCGGTGGCGTTTGCCAGCGTCCAGTTCGCAATCGTCGACGTAAGTTGCCATTGTGCTGCGCTGTTTGGAACTCCTTCGTACACGGTGTTGCGACGAGGCCAAGGACAGGGAGACGTCACGCCACGACGTGCGGCTGGACTGTGAACCGGAAGAGAAAGGGTTCCTGCCGGCAGCGTGTTCGGCGTCAACCCACACCTTCTGTTTTGCAGCGCGCTGCATGGCTTCACGGTCGGAGTCCCCGTGCCACAAATAGAAGACAGCCGGCTCCTCTTCCATGGACTGCCACCTGTTCCAAAGGAGCCACTGGGTGAAAGCGGTTATGAAATCCGAACCAGAAACGCTGAAGACCATACAGCGCACGGACCAATCTACACACAGGCATCTTCAACGAGCGGAACTGCTGTTGGACGTGCGGCGGCAGAACGTCGATGACTTCAGCGGGGATGATGATGTAATGCTCCTCCTCTCCTCCTAGATGTACCTGAAGATACGCACCAAAAAAATCGATTGTCTCCGTCTCGTGACCCATCGCGAAAGACCGTGCCTGGACGAAACGGGCGCCGGTGAGGCTAGCTACGGGTGCCCATAACGACTCGGAGGGCGAACGTACTACCTTCATACGCTTGTCGAACAAGGCGTTACCCATAGCTACGAAACGGGCCTTGCACTCGTGAAGTGCTTCTGGTTGCTCCCAGTTCTTCTCAGAGATCAGGAGTTCCCCTTTGACAACTCGGGCGCACTCCGGAATCGACGACAGCTCTTGCGGCGCAAGCCACACGGGGAGCTCGGCCATACGATCGAACTCCTTGGCCGCCGCCTGAGCTCCGCGGCCATCTGGGCGTTGGAGATACAGTTTCGTGTCCATCAGCTGTGTGACATGCGCCGCCTGACGGCCTAAGACGTACAACGTCTCGGCGACGGGGTCCTGGGCAGTAATGACACTCGCGAAAACGCGGAAGACATCATCGCCAGGCCCCGTCGTAACGGCAGCGGCGCCTACGGAACGCAATGGCTGGAGCGAGCGAGCCGCAGTCGCCAACGCAGCCACCTCATCTCGAGACAAATCCGGCTGGACGTCATCGCTGT